CTGACGCGCTGCCTACTGCGCTACCGAGACTCCCTCATTGACTACTACTAGTGTAATCTTTTAATAATTTTTTTCATACTGTAATACGTAAAGTGGTTTTACCCGACATTTCGAAAGAAGAAACAAATATCTTGTTTAAAATTGTATATTTTCGACGTATTTCCAAATTGCAAAATGATCACTTTCCTACATGATTAAAGATTACACTAATTCATATTGTTTTTCCATAGACGTGTTCCCTTAATGAATCGCTAACAAAATCAATGCCTCGGGTGAGGATCGAACTCACGACCTTCAGATCACTCACTATAGTTTTTGATTATGAGACTGACGCGCTGCCTACTGCGCTACCGAGACTCCCTCATTGACTACTACTAGTGTAATCTTAATTTTTTTCATACTGTAATACGTAAAGTGGTTTTTACCCGACATTTCGAAAGAAGAAACAAATATCTTGTTTAAAATTGTATATTTTCGACGTATTTCCAAATTGCAAAATGATCACTTTCCTATTTCCAAATTGCAAAATTGATTAAAGATTACACTAATTCATATTGTTTTTCCATAGACGTGTTCCCCTAATGAATCGCTAACAAAATCAATGCCTCGGGTGAGGATCGAACTCACGGATCACTCACTATAGTTTTTGAGAGATCGAACTCCTCACGACCTTCATTGATACTACTAGTGTAATCTTAATTTTTTTCATACTGTAATACGTAAACTGGTTTTACCGACATTTCGAAAGAAGAAACAAATATCTTGTTTAAAATTGTATATTTTCGACGTATTTCCAAATTGCAAAATGATCACTTTCCTACATGATTAAAGATTACACATATTGTTTTTCCATAGACGTGTTCCCTTAATGAATCGCTAACAAAATCAATGCCTCGGGTGAGGATCGAACTCACGACCTTCAGATCACTTTTTTTTTGATTATGAGACTGACGCGCTGCCTACTGTAAGACTCCCTCATTGACTAAAGTGTAATCTTAATTTTTTCATTTTAAAAGTGGTTTTACCCGACATTTCGAAAGAAGAAACAAATATCTTGTTTAAAATTGTATATTTTCGACGTATTTCCAAATTGCAAAATGATCACTTTCCTACATGATTAAAGATTACACTAATTCATATTGTTTTTCCATAGACGTGTTCCCTTAATGAATCGCTAACAAAATCAATGCCTCGGGTGAGGATCGAACTCACGACCTTCAGATCACTCACTATAGTTTTTGATTATGAGACTGACGCGCTGCCTACTGCGCTACCGAGACTCCTACTCATTGACTACTACTAGTGTAATCTTAATTTTTTTCATACTGAGTAATACGTAAAGTGGTTTTACCCGACATTTCGAAAGAAAAACAAATATCTTGTTTAAAATTGTATATTTTCGACGTATTTCCAAATTGCAAAATGATCACTTTCCTACATGATTAAAGATTACACTAATTCATTTGTTTTTCCATAGACGTGTTCCTTTAATGAATCGCTAACAAAATCAATGCCTCGGGTGAGGATCGAACTCACGACCTTCAGATCACTCACTATAGTTTTTGATTATGAGACTGACGCGCTGCCTACTGCGCTACCGAGACTCCCTCATTGACTACTACTAGTGTAATCTTAATTTTTTTTCATACTGTAATACGTAAAGTGGTTTTACCCGACATTTCGAAAGAAGAAACAAATATCTTGTTTAAAATTGTATATTTTCGACGTATTTCCAAATTGCAAAATGATCACTTTCCTACATGATTAAAGATTACACTAATTCATATTGTTTTTCCATAGACGTGTTCCCTTAATGAATCGCTAACAAAATCAATGCCTCGGGTGAGGATCGAACTCACGACCTTCAGATCACTCACTATAGTTTTTGATTATGAGACTGACGCGCTGCCTACTGCGCTACCGAGACTCCCTCATTGACTACTACTAGTGTAATCTTAATTTTTTTTCATACTGTAATACGTAAAGTGGTTTTACCCGACATTTCGAAAGAAGAAAAAAATATCTTGTTTAAAATTGTATATTTTCGACGTATTTCCAAATTGCAAAATGATCACTTTCCTACATGATTAAAGATTACACTAATTCATATTGTTTTTCCATAGACGTGTTCCCTTAATGAATCGCTAACAAAATCAATGCCTCGGGTGAGGATCGAACTCACGACCTTCAGATCACTCACTATAGTTTTTGATTATGAGACTGACGCGCTGCCTACTGCGCTACCGAGACTCCCTCATTGACTACTACTAGTGTAATCTTAATTTTTTTCATACTGTAATACGTAAAGTGGTTTTACCCGACATTTCGAAAGAAGAAACAAATATCTTGTTTAAAATTGTATATTTTCGACGTATTTCCAAATTGCAAAATGATCACTTTCCTACATGATTAAAGATTACACTAATTCATATTGTTTTTCCATAGACGTGTTCCCTTAATGAATCGCTAACAAAATCAATGCCTCGGGTGAGGATCGAACTCACGACCTTCAGATCACTCACTATAGTTTTTGATTATGAGACTGACGCGCTGCCTACTGCGCTACCGAGACTCCCTCATTGACTACTACTAGTGTAATCTTAATTTTTTTCATACTGTAATACGTAAAGTGGTTTTACCCGACATTTCGAAAGAAGAAACAAATATCTTGTTTAAAATTGTATATTTTCGACGTATTTCCAAATTGCAAAATGATCACTTTCCTACATGATTAAAGATTACACTAATTCATATTGTTTTTCCATAGACGTGTTCCCTTAATGAATCGCTAACAAAATCAATGCCTCGGGTGAGGATCGAACTCACGACCTTCAGATCACTCACTATAGTTTTTGATTATGAGACTGACGCGCGAACTGCCTACTGCGCTACCGAGACTCCCTCATTGACTACTACTAGTGTAATCTTAATTTTTTTCATACTGTAATACGTAAAGTGGTTTTACCCGACATTTCGAAAGAAGAAACAAATATCTTGTTTAAAATTGTATATTTTCGACGTATTTCCAAATTGCAAAATGATCACTTTCCTACATGATTAAAGATTACACTAATTCATATTGTTTTTCCATAGACGTGTTCCCTTAATGAATCGCTAACAAAATCAATGCCTCGGGTGAGGATCGAACTCACGACCTTCAGATCACTCACTATAGTTTTTGATTATGAGACTGACGCGCTGCCTACTGCGCTACCGAGACTCCCTCATTGACTACTACTAGTGTAATCTTAATTTTTTTACATACTGTAATACGTAAAGTGGTTTTACCCGACATTTCGAAAGAAGAAACAAATATCTTGTTTAAAATTGTATATTTTTTCGACGTATTTCCAAATTGCAAAATGATCACTTTCCTACATGATTAAAGATTACACTAATTCATATTGTTTTTCCATAGACGTGTTCCTCATTAATGAATCGCTAATTTTTTTCAAAATCAATGCCTCGGGTGAGGATCGAACTCACGACCTTCAGATCACTCATATTATAGTTTTTGATTAAAATGAGACTTATGAGACTGACGCGCTGCCTACTGCGCTACCGAGACTCCCTCATTGACTACTACTAGTGTAATCTTAATTTTTTTCATACTGTAATACGTAAAGTGGTTTTACCCGACATTTCGAAAGAAGAAACAAATATCTTGTTTAAAATTGTATATTTTCGACGTATTTCCAAATTGCAAAATGATCACTTTCCTACATGATTAAAGATTACACTAATTCATATTTTTTAGTGTAATCCATAGACGTGTTCCCGTTAAATGAATCGCTAACAAAATCAATGCCTCGGGTGAGGATCGAACTCACGACCTTCAGATCACTCACTATAGTTTTTTTGATTATGAGACTGACGCGCTGCCTACTGCGCTACCGAGACTCCCTCCATTGACTACTACTAGTGTACTACTTTTTTTCATACTGTAATCTTAATTTTTTCATACTGTAATACGTTTAAAATTGGTTTTTCCGACATTTCGAAAATGAAGAAACAAATATCTTGTTTAAAATTGTATATTTTCGACGTATTTCCAAATTGCAAAATGATCACTTTCCTACATGATTAAAGATTAAAAATGAAATTCATATTGTTTTTTTTTAGACGTGTTCCCTTAATGAATCGCTAACAAAATCAATGCCTCGGGTGAGGATCGAACTCACGACCTTCAGATCACTCACTATAGTTTTGATTATAAAGATCTACAAGTTCTTGTTTTTTTTTTTGTTAATTTCCATTTTACTGTTGGTGTTTTATTGGTTTATTTTAAATGCCAGAAATATTTAGATAAGAATGTCTGGTTGCAGTACTTAGTACTATTGAAGGAACTTTGGTATTGGTTCCACCTTAAATTAAATTCATTCTTTGTACATCCTATATAGACTCTAACATCATTAGGATTCTCAATAGATGAGATATTGCATTGATAAATTACGGATTTTATACAACATTTATTATTCAGAGGACAATTTTCAGGATTTCTAAAATTACATAATTTTTCTTTATTTTTGTTTATTCTTATTTCAGGATCTCTATTTCTTTGATTTTGGTATAAGTATTTATTCAGGATTTTGGCATTATGTTTTTTAAAATAAAAATAAATGATAAGAACTTTCTTTCCTATTATATTAATATAAAAAAAAAAATTATGAATTGTATGTGCGTTTAAAACTCAGTAAATTTAAAATAAGTTATTCCAAAATTCACTTGAAGATGAAACAGAACTAATCCTTTTAAATTTAATTATATAATTAAATTTGAAGTTTTTAACTTCAGTTTTTGAAACATGGTAATTCCTGTGTAGCGATAAAACCATATTTTAAATCAGTTAATTTATAAAATTTATGCTCTGTAAACTTACATTGAGCACTGTTTTGTAAAAATAAAAATATCAATAAGAACACTGGATTATATATCTTACTGTTCTTTTTACTATATATATATATATATATATATATATTTTCTTTTTTTTCTCTTTTCAGATTTTCTTTCAGTATTTACTATGGATGCAGAAGATGTTCTAAAAGAAAATAGTGGAAAACTTCGCAAAGAATTAGAAGCAAAAGTTCTTTTACGTGAAATAGACATCATCTTTTCTCCCTCGACAGCTGTAAGAATTCTGTGGTCATTTAAATAATTTGCCTTACAAAAAAATAGAAATGAAACACCAAATTGCTGTTTGTGTTTGCAATAAATATTACTTCTTTTACAACTTCTTTTTGAATTTTTTACAAAGATAAAGAAAATAAAATGAGAGAAACATTTGGAGATACCAATGATCTAATTAGTATTATTACTATACCTTTTCAACTTCAAAATGGACTTATTTTAGGTAAAAAAAATTAATCAACTTCAAAATGAATTAATCCATTTCAAGTTGGAAAACAACTTCAAAATGAGAAATAATCAACTTCAAATTGAGAATTAATATAATACTAATAAATTTAATATCTATTCTTTTATTTTTACTTAATAGGGATACAAACAAAAATATAAACATTCCTAAGAAATTTATTTAAAAGATTACATCATCTAAGTTAATTACAGAGGGAAGTAATCTTTGTATTCCAGATACGAAGTTAGTGCAAGTCTCAGGGGAAATATTATTAATTGCCTTGGAGATCATTGCTTCTAACTTGCTGAGGTGGAATTCTTTAGTAGTTAAAGATCCCTGGCCATCACCTCTTAAAATCCCAACAATTGAGTCTGCCATACTTCTTTTTATGTCAACTTTAATGACTGACCAAACCGTTTCATTGGGATTTAACATCAGACTATAGGGAACAAGTCTGAAAATTTGATGTTGCCTAAATTCATCCTCCTCCACAACTTCTTCAATTGAAGTATGGCAAGGAGTGTTATCAATAACTAAGACAACTCCCCTTTCATAAATTTCATTTGCCTTTCTAAGGCACTCCCTGCTCCATTCTTTCGCATCCTCTTTTTTGAAAGAACCTCTTTTAATTTTATGATGAATTAATCCATTATTACTAATACATCTAATAACATGGATGTTATTTCCCCTGGATCTGGCCACGACTGTAGTGCTCCTCGTGCCTTTTTTAGAGCGACCTTCTCTTCTTGAAATATGGAGATTAAAATTGGTTTCATCCATATAAAGAATTGGCACACTTTGGGACTGAAATTCTAATAAAGCTACTGCGTAATCCTTACGTTTCGCCTTATTGACATTATTATTGGCAGCTTCTGGTTCATAATGAACTGCTTTTAAAGTAAAGGCCATGGAGTCCAAGTGCTATCTTATGCATTCTTTCATCACGCGAACCTCATACTTTTCGACCAACTTATTTACAATGTCTTGAAGAGTGACCGTAGGAGAGTTTTCAATTAATTCGGCCATAAAATTCTTATGCCCTTGGATAATTTTATATTTTCTTGCTCCTCCCTAGAGTCACTCTTATCAGCACCTGGTTCTAACCAACGACACGCTGTTGGCAGAGGCACACCAATTGTTCTTGCCAGGTCTTTCAATTTCCTGCTGCGGCATGTGCAGCTAAAATCTGAGCCTTTTTTTGCCAGCCACAGTTTTCTTGAGGTAAGTCCTCTTTGAAGCTGTTGCTAATTCTTCTTCAGCTTCTTTTCTAGAGGTTTCTCCAGCATCATCATCAATCATCATTTTTGCCCATACGGGACTTTCTCCTCCTACTTTTACTGTAGGCTCACCCATAGCTTTCTTGGCCTCTAAGTTTGTATTTTGTTTTTTTCTTCATCTATATAATAAAAACAAACATTCAATTTCCTTACTCATGGGGTAAATTAATTGAAAAAATAATTTTCAATTTACCAAAAAAATATCTCAATTTGAAGTTGTTTATCCTTATTTTGAAGTTGATTGATTTTAGGTTTTTGACATTTTCTCAATTTGAAGTTGATTAATCCATTTTGAAGTTGATTGTTCCATTTTGAAGTTGATTAATCCATTTTTTTTTTGATTAATCCATTTTGAAGTTGAATTTTTTGATTAATCCATTTTGGAGTTAATTTTTTTACTTGAAAATAAGTCCATTTTGAAATTGATTATTATCATTTTGAAGTTGAAAAGGTATAGTTTTACTCCATTTTATTATAATCATTGTTTGAAACAGTTCCTCTATTATTATTTTATTAGTAGAATCTTATAATTGTGACTTTTCATGTAAAACATTTTAATTATTATTATTTTTTCTTAATTATTAAGTAATTACTAGTTATGCTCCAATTTGTTTTTTTAGATTGAGAAATTTAATTACAATTTTTTATTTTTTATTACAATTTTTCCTCCATCATATTGTGGCTTTTAGACAATGTATTTTAAAGGTTATTAGTCTTACTCCTTCTTAATATTTTTGCTTTTTTAAATCTAGTATTTACATTATTAATATTTTATACCTAGATTTACACCATACTATTGTTCTTTCTTTTTAGATGAAGCATTTTTATTATTCCATCTTGTTATTGTTGCTTTTTAGATGAAGCATTTTCACTATTCCATCTTGTTATTGTTGCTTTTTAGAGGAAGCATTTTCACTATTATTATTTCTTAGGTGATTCATTTACATATGTATTCACAAAGACTATAAATAAGAACCGAATCAAAAATTAACGCTGGATAATTATGATTATGCATAAGTGTGGATACCAGGATACTAGTAGCTAAAGCTAGAACAAAAAAGCTGAAGCATTTAAAATCAGTTGGAGGAGAAAACCAAATAACTGATCTCTTCTTCGCAACTGCTGGTTGTGAAGCCATTATAAAATTATCAGAAATTGCACACCCAAGACAGTTGGAGGAAATGATGTTTGACAATATAAGTCAACTAATAGTGAAAAAACAACATCCAAGAAAAAAATTATGCATGCAGAAAAAGCTAAGTTTATGAATATTTCTCAAAAAGTGAATGAAATAGATAAATAGCCTTGAAAATGAAGAATGTTGGCAAATGGCTCTAATGCATTTACAACTGGGAAAGTTATCACTAGAACAGTGTCGAATTTGTGCAGCAACAAGAATTGATTCAAAAATTTAATAGTACAAAAGTTATGAATCTGGGCACATACACGATAAAGAAAAAAGATAAAATAAGGTGTACTTCTTGTGGATATCAATATCAAACAGAAAAACAAAAATGTCCGGAATATAAAAGAAAATGTGAAAAGTGTTTCAAAATGAATCTTTTTAAACATATGTATAAATCCAAAAAGAAAAATGTAGAGACGGTCCAACAAAATTAAGAGGAAATAAATACGAATAGCTTTTCATTGAAAAAAAAAAGAAATGAAAAAGGGTTATTAAAAATTTGAATCAATGTTTTATTGAACATGCAACTAGATATGGGAAGTGATGTGATGTTGATACCCAGAAATTTTGGGAATAAAGAAAACCAAGATTAAAGAAAAGTCTTATCCAATTGAATCAGTTCAATGGATCCATCATAAAAACATTAGGCTATTTTGAAGCCTACATGGAACTAAAAAATAAGTTTGATGGATTACCAATTATCCTGGCAAACTGTGAAAAGAATCATGGTCTAATAGGAAAATGATGTATTGAACATAAATTCAACAGAATTAGTAAACAAAGTCAAGACAGAAGAAACTGGAATGTTAAAAAACTATGAAGCAGAGTTAAGACTAAAGGAAAATTTCCCCCCTCCCAATATTTTCAAGCATGAAAAGTGCCAGTCCATCTGCTACCAATAGTTGTAGAGAAACTAAAAAAAATACTGGAACAAAATCTACTTGAACAAGTCCTGCCATTTAGTAATTTTGATAAAGAAGGATGGGGATCTGTTCAGACTCATATGCTACCCCTAATGTAGAATGAACTTTGAACTCCCTTGTGGGTATGAAAATATTCTCTACAATTAATCTAAAGTCAGTATATCATCAAATATCTATTGACAAAGATTTTAAAGAAGTTAAACGATAAACATGCCAATAGGCTTGTTAAAATGGAAAAGAATACCGTATGGAACTAAAACTGCAGATGTGATTTTTCAAAGGGTTATAGAGCAAATTATTGGTAGTGATATAAAAAATACAATATGCTTCCAGGATGACACTTGTGTTGGTGCTATTGATGACAAAGCACTAAAATGGAAAACGAGTATAGTTTTGTGATATGTCCTGGAAAGGGATATATTTGTTCAAAGTAGCTAAGTGGTTATGGCTACTGTAACCAGGTACGACAATCTAGTAGGTAGCCGTAATGGACTGGTACTCATCGTAGTGGTAGGCAATGGGCATAGGCAATAGGCATAGATGATGTACCTCCACATCACTCTGTATTTATGGTGGACACCAGCCAATCATATTACTGTGAGGGGGAACCCAGGTGTATGTATATTCATTACATCATTTTGAATAAGTGAAAATATACTGGATTAACAATTAAAGAAAAAAGATGTGTGCACAACACTAAAAAAATATAATTTTGGGGATATTCTATATCTAAGGAAGGCATATCAATCGTTAATGAACAAAATTTTAAAAGTTGAAGTACCTAAGAACAAAAAAGAATTAGAATCTTTCCTAGGACTTGTAAATTTCTAAAGATGATATGTAGAGTGATACTCTAAATTGACAGAACTTTCTGCTGCTTTAAGAAAAAAGAATAAGAATTTATTTGGACAAATAAACAAGTAGCATTTGAAAATTTAAAAGCTATTCCGGCAAAGAAGACAGTAGTTAAAAATATTTGACCCTAGAAAAGAAATAGTAGTAACAACTAAAACAAGTGAACACTCAATTTCAGGAATATTAGCTCAGGATGGTCATCCTATTTTGTATCTTTCAAGAAAATTGTTAAAAGCCGAATTGAACTACTCAAATATTGAGAAAGAAGCATTGGCCATAATATGAATGACAAATAGAGCTTGACAATTTTGGATTGAAAAGAAATTCCTACTAAGGTCCAACTATAGACCTTTAGAATTCATATTTAATCCTAGGAAGGAACTCCCTAAGGTGATGTCTTCTAGAATTCTATGATGGGCCTTAATGTTAATGGCGTTCAACTTCAATATTGAGTATGTGAAAGGCAATATCATTCCACATGTAGACGCCTTGTCGAGATTGAGGTTCACTACTTTTGAAAGTGAGAAAGAGAAG